TGGATATATGACCCATAGACATTGGATATACGACACATTACAACCTGCCTGACATCTGATACCCCAGGTAACTTGCCTCCAACTGATCACTTGCATTCCTTCACACCTTCCCTCCCTCACCCCTGCCACCTTCCCTCCTATTTCTACCCATTGTCTTCCTAACCTCCACTCATTTGCATTTTCACAGACATGCTTGTTACAAATTAGCTTCTTTTCTACCTTGGAGAACACATAACAACAGCAGAGTCTCTCTATGTCTGACGAAGGGTGTCTGTGCCCAAAAGCTTGCAAATAACTTTTTTCCTTTCTCTTCAGATTCTCCTTTATCCCCTTTCTTTTCACTTTGGTATTGTCTGCTTTCCTATTTCTTCTATTATCCTGCCTCCTTGTTCCTTTTTTTCCTTCTCTTTTTCCTGGGATTCCATCCTTGCCCTCAAATTCTCCTTATGCCAAATTTCTCTCCACTACTCAGCCTGTCTTCCCAAACCTTACCTGTCTTCAGTAAAGTACCAGACTTTGGACAAGCATCAGAACAAATCTCTCCTCTCCTCCTGAGATTGGCACTATCCAGCTGGAACAAACATATTTGCTCTTACTCAGTGTGTTAAATGCTCCTAAATCTTTCTAGACATTGTGCACTAAAACCTCAGTCCAACAAGTCATATAAAGCATCTGCTTCTCTCTTAAGCATCCTAGTAGTCCTACTATCTTTGGTAAGACTACTTACTAGGGCTGTGTGAAGCATTGGGTGCTCATTCAATTTGGAGGAGATTCGGCCCGATATAGCGGCTGAATCTCTTAATCTAAATTGAATCAGGAGACCAAAAAAAAGGTCCGAATTGATTTGAAGCTCTCTGAATCAATTTGGAAAAGATTTGGAGAGCTTTGGAGATTCAGGCAGTCCCCATTCACCGCCACAGGGAGCTGGACCCGGACTCTGTGCTGTTAAGTAGGGGGTGGAAGGGGGGACCATGGAAGGACCCCTGCTAGGCCACATCCCCTGCCTGCTCCCAGCTCCCCTGAGCATCTCCCAACCCCCACCCGCTCCCCCAGCCCTGTCAATGGCTGTCCCACCCAGCCCCAGCGTCCTGGCACTTCAAAAAAAAAAAAAGCCCTGCACTCACTAGCTGCTTTCAGGTGGGGGGTGCGGTGATCTCCATTACCCCTACTGCCCTGTGCTGCTTTGGGGGCTGCACCATAAGCCCCTATCCCATGCCCACTCTCCCAGCCCCCACCTCCCATGGCTGCCCTGCCCAGCCCCAGCTCCCAGTTCTTTTAAAAAAAAAAAAAAGCCCTGCACTTACCAGCTGCTGCAGTGGCTGACAGGGCTTCTGGGGGCTCATGGCAAAGCCCCCCACGAAGTGCATGGCAGTGGGGGGAAGCAGGGATTGCCCCCCGCCTGGCAGAAGCTGGTGAGTACGGGCCTTTTTGTAAAGTGCCACGACGCTGGTGCTGGGGGAAGCAGCTATTGATGGGGCTGGGATGTTGGGGCCTGGGGCAGGGATGATGGGGCTATTGATGGGGCAGGGGATGGGGCCTGCTTGATTTGGAGGTTCGACCAAATTGAATCCCTGTCCCTCATATCGGCCAAATCCGAATGTGAAACAAATACTAGCCACTTCGCACAGGCCTACTACTTACATTCTTAAATGAAGCATATATTTAAGGGCTGTGCTGAAGTAGACCCCATTCAGAACCGTCAGTTATATGCAGACAGTAATCTCTATGCAAGATTAAGTAAAAGTGAGATAAATGCCAGGTAAGGTTATGATTCTGTGAGGTGCCAAGAATTTTCTGAGAACTTCCATTGCTCAGAAGTGGCAGCTGATGACCAGGATAATTGCATGGGAAAATCACAGGGAGCTGTGAGAGATGAGGGAGATTGGTGAGAAACCGGATAGGAAAAAAGCGTGCTCTCTCTCTCTCTCTCTCTCTCTCTCTCACCTTGTATTCCCCCATCCTGTTTGGAAAGAAAATGTGACCACTTCATAAGATAAGGCAGGGAGGCAAGAATAGTATTTATCCCTGTGTGACCCTTTGCCTGTTCTCCCCCACTCCAATTTAGTGCTACCTAATCATTTCCCTTCTTCTACTTTCCCTCCCAATATACACCATATATTCATCTTCTGTTATAGTCACTAATTGACATCCATCTCCTCTACACTCATTTCTATTAGCCCATGCCTCATCCTCCTCGTAAGGTCCCAAGCTGGTCGTCTCTCTCAAGCTGAACCTCAAAAGTTCATAAGCACCTCTTTCTCCCCACCCTGCCACACACATACTCCCTCCGCCTCAGGTTGAAAACTCCCCTTCCTACTACCTAACTTCCTTATGGTGCAGAACCACTCACTTTGCCCTGAGCCCTTTCCAGTTTGACACCCTTAAAGTCAGAAGAGGCATGCATCTCTGCAGGGGCAGAACCCAACCCCATGTTCAGAATTCTTTGCTCCTTGTCTCCAACAACCACCAGCTAAGAATGCAAATCCTAATCAGAGCCACCTCTCCCACAGGCAAAGTGGTTTGGAGAAGCAGGGCAGGAGCAGCTGGGAGCCTGAGGTTAAGTAAGGTTAAAATAGCTTCGAAATGACAAAGCCTTTAAGAGTATTTTGTGGCAGTGGGAGTGCTGAACTTTACAGTACAGCAGGTAACATAAACAGTGAGATATTATTGGAGGAATTTTGTCCCATTACTTCCCTAGTTGCTCCAGCACATATAATCTTTCAGGATTAGGTTTAAAAGATGAATGTGCTCAGCTTCAGAAGGAGAAGCTATCAGTGCTGAAACTGGATTGGAGGTTTCAGGTAGGGCTTACCTGGCTGGTGGGATCCTGATCTGTTCCCTAATTCATCTACTTGAAATTAAAGTTAAACGAAATTGTTTTAACCTCCAATTTACGCTTTTTTCTTCTTTTGTGTACTAATTTCTAGGAAATTATACATGTAAGAATAACTTGACTGAATAAATTAACTAATCGTTAAGATTATAATTCACCATATATGTTTGGATTGTCAAATGTTAAAAATTAGCCAAGATCACATTAGTCTAATATCAGAAATATCCTCTATGTCCACTTGCAGAAGATGGATACAGTGATTTAACAAATCTCCATCACTAAGTGCTCAGATTGAAATATCACAGTACACTCTGCATGATTACCAGGGATCCAGGTTTTCTGTTTGCCATGGAAAAAAACAGTAAAATGAGGATTTTCTCATTTTAAGGAATAAAGTGAGGATTTTCTCATTTAAAGGAAGCCCCACAGGGGCCTCTGTGGCCCAGTAGATGAGACCCAGAATGGGAGGACAGAGCAGAGCAAGGCAGGGAGGCTCAATGCCACTGCCAGGACAAGGTGCTCCTGCCGTCCCAGCAGCAGCAGGGGTGGTGGCGTGGAGTTGTGGCCCCTGCAGCGGACAGGGGGTGCCTCGCCATGGCAGTGTGGGGCTCCTAGTGGTGGCACCATGCTTCTCCACCCTGCTCTGTTTTCCCACACCAGGTCTCTCCCACTGGGATGCAGAGGCCCTTGAGAGGAGGACAGCACGGCAGGGAGCCCCAAACCCATAGCCACCAGCCCGTATCCGCTCCCCATCCATGGGCTTTGCTCCAGCTGTACCAGCCCTGGGGGAGGGGGAGCCAGGCTCTGAACTCCACTCAGGCCACAGCAGCTACCACCTCCCACAGGCGAAAGATGGAGTTGGGCGCTGCTGGAGGGGGCAGGGGGCTACAGACCTGGGTCTCTGAGCCTATAGCCCTGGCAGCTGGGGACCCCCTCCAGCAGGGCTGGGGGGTGGAGGGCTGTGGGTGGGGAATGAGGGGCACCAACAGGGCTAGGAGGGGCTGTGCATAGGGAGGGAGGAGAAACAGCAGGGCTGGGGGGCTGGGGGTTGGGGGTGAAGGATACTGGGAGAGCCAGGGGGGCTATGGGTTGGGAGTGAGAGGCACTGGCAGGGCCAAAGAATTGTGGCTTGGGAGTGAGGGGCACTGTCATGGGCAGGACACTGGCATATCAGGGCTGCTCAGGGCCACAAAGCAGTGCAGGGGGGACAGCTGCAGCTGGACCCGTATTCTGCTGAGTGAAGGGGGCAAGGGGAGCTCTTATTTTCTATGATAAAAAAGCTGAACTCAACCACCAACATTTATAGGTATTTAGAATTTGTTTTTATTATAGTGATTGAGGCACTGGTAGGCTTCCAAATTGCTTTAAAACTGTAAATATATCAATAAAACATTGTGTTCAACTGATATCTGTATATAGTGCCGTTTCATTTTAATCATGGAAAAATGCAGATTTTGGGGGGTGTAATCAGAGAATTTGCAATTTTTTATCAGAGAAAACCAAGTTCCCTGATTATCACTGACTGTATATAGTTTGAGAAGCTGAATAAGCTAGTAACAATCACATTTCATGTTGAACTATGAATTCAGGATTTTTGATAGCATTCAAAATATTTTATACTAGAAGGTTCCATGTAATTTGGTCCTTCATTCAGAGATATGCATAAAATAACAATTAAAATACCATTTGATGGATAAGAATTGATTAAAACCTACAAACCTTACTCAGTCAAACTCTCATAGGGCAAAATGCTAAATACCTTGACAACTACAAAAGCCTGTGGACTTGATTTTGCTCTGTCTGTTTTTCATTTTTCTTTTTTTGTCCATGGGCCTTGTTTTTACTGGAAGTCTTGCCTGAATAAAGACTAGATGATTTGACCTAGAGTTCATACTTAATTTCATATTGGCTGTTTAACTTTGTTATGTTCAATAGACAGTTTATAATCTGGTGTACAAAATGAGGTCAGTCTATTGCAAAGTATCTGGAACTGGTATGTTTAAGTCTACCTATGTTCTGAAAAATCAGAAAGGGAAACTCAAAGAACACTTATAGTAGCAGCAATGTGCATTAAACAGATCTAAATGGATTATCAGTAAGACATTGATTTTTCATGTATAAAGTTTTACTTTATAGAGGTGTCACCACTTATTTGTATTACACACACCTGCTGAAAGAGAAACATGATATGGATCCATAGCTGAGGCTGTCGGCTGATGAGGGTAAAACTGGATTTACTGTATAGGCAGTAATGACCCTTCAGGGGGCAGCTGAAGAACAACTTTGCTACACAACTTCTAACAGTATCTAGAAACAAATATACATAAAGTTAAAATCAACTACTTAAAATGTCTATCTATCTGATATTACTTTATATTTAAACATATAATGCTAGAGGCTATGTGGTACCAGGATTTCTATATCTGAAATAGTCTGGTTATATCCCCATTTTCCAGGTGTGTATGATTCTCAAACTGCATTAAAATCAGCCCTGTTCAGTGGGCCAGCACAAGGCATGAGCCACTTAAGTTGACTATAAGTCATATTAAATGGTATGCAGGCCTTGTGCTGGTCCTCTGCATAGAGTTACATTGTACCCACTGTACAACAAGAATATTCATCATTGCTTTGCACATGACCACATGAGGTGTGATGCAGTGTAGAAACAAGTCTTTAACATGTACCATCTTTATTTTTGGAAGAATGTTCTGAAGCTCTTAGTTTATATTTACAGTCTCAGACAAAAATGGACAAATATTGTTAGAATTGTTCACAATTCTCATTTAAAATGAACAGTTTGTCAAAAAAGCATCATGTTAGAAAACAGCCACTTATGTCCTTCAGTTTATGCACTCCTCACTCAGGAAAAATGTATTTCAATGAGAGTTATGCCAGAGCAAGGGCTGCAGGAATTAGCCCTTTTTTAGCAAAAGGTAACCGTTTGTAGCCATTACTCAACCTTGCTTTGTAATGGTTTCATTGAGAGCCTCAAAAGAATTAAGTTTCTTTCCAAGTTAAATGTGCACATAACTTCTTTATCTGATAGCACTTAACATGGTTTTGGTCATCATAAAAAGTATATCAACTATTGCATACCCACTCCAATAAGATACAAAAACAACAGAAAAAACATTCCAACACCAGTAAAAAGTGAGTGACATGAAATATTTTTTAAAATGTGACTAGTTCTGGATTCACTTAAAGTGAAGTCCACCCAAGGATACTGTTCCTACAAACAAAGGCGGGCATTGGGCAGTGGAGACTATTTTTCTTTCTGCAGTTTCTATGTAGTTTCCCCATAAATATTATAAATCTTTATTTTGCATTGACAGGAAAAGATGAACTTAGCCCTTAAGAAACCTGCACAATATCAGTAAGATACATAGTATGTATGTGATCTATAGCAATGAACATAATAGTTTTGCAACAACTTGCCCAGAACTTAGCAAAACAGATATTGCCTAATGCCAGTAATTAAGAATTGATTCAAACTTGCTTTAAGACAATGAAGTCCAAATCATAGCAAAGATGGATCTGCAACAAAACTGTACATGGGGTGGAAAAATGAGGTACTGTAAAAAGATGGCTAAATTCCTGGTAGAGAGTGTTATATCTTACCTCTCATTCTGCAAAACTGCTTCAAATGACAACAGGACTAGCTTAGTAGTTTAAAAGTAATTGTTGCTTCTAAAAGTAGAAATATAATATGAATCAGAAGCCTCTAAATCAACTTCCAGCTCACTTAGTGCCAACCAAAACCAAGGTTCAGGTTTAGATTAGTGACTCTACAAACACCTCTGTACTAAATGGATTCTTAGAAGCTGACACTGAGAAAATGCAGAATAATACAAAGTGAAGATGAGCAACTTTAAGGACTGTGGCCAGGGACAGATGTGGTATCAGAGGCATTCCATGTGCCTTTGAAGTATTCCAAATAGAGCGTACAGATATGCATAGCCAAAAACATGTGTCAGCTATGGTAAAAGCACTTAAAAAACGACTCTCAATATGAGGAACATTTTTGCAGCACTTCCTTTTGAAGCACTTCCTGAAACATCTGGTCTTCCAGCATCCCCCAGTGCTCCGTTCCCTCTTCTCACAGGTGGGAAAGCAGGGTCGACAGCCAATGAGAGTTCTCCTGTAAGCTCAGCTGTTCTTGGGAACCTCTGCAGACTGAAGGATGAGAGAGGCATGCAGAGATTTGTGCTCCCCAGACCACTGGGTGAAGGAGCTCAAGAAAAGACATGATGATTTGAGGTATATCTTAACTGCAGAGTTCACTCAGCAGATTGACATTCTCCTGTGAAATTTGCTAGATTTGCCTGGTCTGAGCTGCCACATTGCAACATACTAAGCGCATCTGCATGTGACACTGCGTTGCCATAGCAATGCGCTACAGTGACATAGCATCCATGGGTGTCTACACATGACCAGCAGCTACAGCACTTTGCCATAGTAGCAGGCTCCTCCCTTATAGCGTGCCACTATGGTGAAGCAGCTGCTAAAAATAACCACGCGTCACGTGCACCACACAGTATGAGTGGTTACTGCACCGTGCTTTAGTACTTCCAAAAGGAAATACTAAAGCACGGTGCAGTAACAACATCATGCCCACTGTGTAACCCATGACTGTATCCAGGCTGCTGCTATGCTTCTGAAAGGCATTACGACATCTGGTATCACATAAGCTGGTCTGTTCAATGATTCTTTTCCCAGAAATTGTGTGGGAACTTGCCTGTGTGGGAAACAACTGGCACATGGGAGAATTGTAGAAACAAACTGATTTAGTCTCAAGTGGTTCAGTCTTACTCCACAATGTAAAGTTTGTAAGTCACCAGCTGGATTGTTATTAGAAACACTTAGAGTTAAGCCCAGATTTCCAGAGATCAATAGGACAGTTAGCTCCAGTGTCATGTATCACTACATTTGTCTGACAGGTTTCTGTGTGTAGATAGGAGTCAGGTGTAGGGCAATACCTGAGTAAGAGCCTGAGTTAACTCTGCAGAGCAGAAAAGCATATAATTCTGAATTGTGTAGCCAGGAGCATAGCCATTTAAAGGGAGTCCTCGACTTACAACGTTCCTCAACTTACAATATTTTGCACTTGCAATGTTTATAAATTGACACCCTGTTTCAACTTTCTGACATCAGTTTTGACTTTACTACACTTGATCTGACACGACGCCACACCAGTGAACAAGTTTACTGTGTCACCCGTCTCCCGGAGAACATCTGTCCAAACTTCCTTGGACAAAGCAGACAAGACTCCAGAAAAACCTGCAGCTAAGACTCCTGAGAAGACTCCTGCCAAGAACCCTTCAAAAAGTCCAACCAAGAGCCCTTCAAAAAGTCTAGCAAAGTCACCTCAAAAAAATCCTTCCAAGTCAATATGATTGCTATTTACAATATATACATTAATGTAGCTATAGTATTGATCTATAATTGACTGAGTATAAAATTCTGGGTTATTTTTGGTGAAAATAGGGTATTGGGCCTTGATTCAGGAACCAATCCCCATTTATAACATTGTTTCCTACGGGAAAATTGGTTCCCATTTACAACGTTTCAACTTAAGACGCAGTTTTCAGGAATCAATTATGTTGTAAATCCAAGGACTGGCTGTATGTAATATTACTGGTGTTTGGTATAGTAGACTGAAAAGCAGAGTGGCTATCACTTATATCACATTAATGTTAATAATCCATTAACAAATTAGAGAGTACATTAAGGAGTATGGATTTTATTTCTGGAAAGAAGAAGAATATTACATGGAAATGATTTTGTTTCAAATCAGAAGGAAATATTGTTTCAATTCAGAAATTTCAATTTGAAATTTGAAATTTTGTTTCAAATCAGAAGGAAATATCAGAATGATTTTTGTTTCAAATCAGGAGGTATGGGAATAATTTAGCATCACGGGATATTTACAGAGTCAGTGGAAAAATATAAATAACTGATGAATCACCAAGCCAACAAGAAAAGATATCTACTGTACAAATGGAGAGCATGAACTAATTCTCACTGAAGTGAGAAGGAAAGGTCTTCGTTGACATAAGTGGGACTGATCCTACATCAGTCTGTTAAAAAAAAGTTAATCAAAGCTGTGTTAAGGCATACTTTTAAAAACCCAGTCAAGAATATTACCGTTATATATCTTTGAAGGCCTCACACTTCTAGCAAAGTAATACTCCCAATTTATTTTTTACAAGAAACCAATTTTAAATTTAATTATTGAATAGTTAGACAACAGGGGAGAGTTATATATTGGAGTTATGCATCTTAGTTGGGCATAACTTTAATCACAGAAGTTAATTTATAAGTTAGTGGGACTACTTACATGAGAAGGTACCTAGTAAAGAATGAGAAATGCCATAATCTGGGAAAGAAAATTCAAATATCGATAGTTTCTCAAACTTATTTTTGAACCATTTTCTACTTCCCTAGTTTCCTTGGCTTATTTCATTTATTCTGTTTTGATTAAGAATGAGAATGGAGCTGTAAGGAGTGACCTAGAAAGCACTACCCGAAGACGAAGCAGAAGAGAATGTTATGTGACGAATGCCCATCTGCAATGATAAGGAGGAGACAGTCTTAGATAAAGGGCGCTTGAAAACAAAAAGAAAAAACAGGGAACTGGGTTAAAAGGGCTCATTAAAATACTAAAAATCACACCCCTAGGTGGGGAAAAAGTATGCTAATGAAACATACATGTATGTAAATGAGATACATGGCTAAAACACAGGTATAGAGACATGCTCAGTAAAGAACTTCTTGCGTCACTCACTTATAACCAATCAGCAAACAAGCATGCTTATGAAGGCTCAAAAACTCCTGTATAAAAGATGCTTAGATATAGTGATCTGGTGTGCTTGTTACGTGAAATTGTTCCGCTCGCACCTTTTATTGCTAGCAATAAACCTTCTTTGTACTTTCACCCCTGATATCTTTATTGGCCTTTGCATACCGGGCACTATCCCAGACTTGAGCTGGGGCACAACAGTTTTTGGCACCCCAGATGGGACTGCCTTAGATAAGGCTTTGCCCGGACTAACTGACGACCAGACGGCCACCCCTCTGAAGCGAATGTCAGGCACGCCCCGGGATCTCTTTTCCCGGTAAGACTTTTACTTCAGGGGGAGCTGGATCGCTGAGGCGGCAGTAGCCTAACGGTGCAACGCCATAGAGTGAAAGTACCAGTAACAGGCACTTGGGTGAGAGGGTAGAAAGGGCATAAGGCCTAC